GCCAGGGGCCGGGCACTGAGCTCTTTGGCGCCCCCACCCTCGTTTCGGAGCCCTCCACGCTGCGGCCACTGTCCCCTCCGGACCATGGCCGACGACGACGTGCTGTTCGAGGACGTGTACGAGCTGTGCGAGGTGATCGGCAAGTGAGTCTCCACGCGAGGGAGCGGGTGTATGGGAAAATGCATTTCAGTGATGCCCGGGTCCTCCCGCACCCGCCGGGGGGCCTGCCCCTCTGCCCTCCCTCTGCTCGCCTCCCTCGTCCTCCTTGCTTGCGAGTATTTATAGACGTGTACCTGGACCTCCTGCGGGGCAGGGGTCTAGGGGGCTTCTCGGCGATCCGTGGAGGCCGACGAGCCGAGATCGGCCACCCCACGAGGCGTGGGGCCGGCTGAAATCTGCTGTCTGCATTTTCTCTGACGGTTGCACAGGGACGTGGCAGAACCGATTTTATAGTTGCTTCCTGGGAACAGTTGGGCTTATTGTTACCTTGCGTGTACCACAGACCATTAACGAAAAGAGCAGCTTACATTTCCTTTGCATGCGTGGAGAGACAGAGAAAGAACGTCCAGGGTTTTAAATTGTGGGGTGTGTGTCTATTGTGCAGGATATTAGATAGATGCCTTTGTGTTCACCCCATGCCCGGATTGGAGGGGGTCATTTAAGACCAGGTGCGTTCAGTTTCGGCAGATTCTTCACCTGGGGTAGACCAACGTGGAAAGAGTTGGGGGATTCCGAATTTTTAATGCCTCGTTATGCAATGACTGTTAAATCAGTGTTCGAGGCTTCCCTCGACTGTTGTTGGGATGGTGGTTAGCGTGGTAGAGCCGTCTGCTTTGAGTCACCGGGCTGGTCTAGAATATAGAACTGACAGTCCAAATGCTCATCCTTTCATCTGTGTTGTATAATTACACTAGGGAAAAGCAGGGAATCAGATTAATCACAGTGCTGATTGAGAATTAAATCTGCAGTTCCTCATCTAATTGTCCATTCCTTAAATCTGTTTTGAATAGTTTCCTTTTCATTCTTGTCAAACAGTATTCCAAGTGCACAATCCTGCTAATTTGCTTGTGAGGGAAATGCTGCGATCTGAAGTTGATTTCCTGGTTCAGCGTGTATTCTGTGGCTTTAGAAGTTGAGGAGATAAGATTTAAGAGCAATTTTTGCTTGGTTATTAAGGATTGCTAGATAGCTACCATCGAAATATTTTTCTGTCTTTTTGGAAGCGGTGCTTTATTGTCTATTTTAAGGTCCGCAGTTAGGAAATGAAACCAAGACCTTAGAGCAGTTGACTGTATCTCTTTTAAGTTGTCTGCAGTACTGGATTTCAATTTGTTTAAGTACTGATAACTCATTATTTTCCTTCCATGTTGAGGTATGACAGTGTTGCCTCACATGGTGAAATTGTTGGTAGAGCTTGCCACACACTTTCCTCAGACCCAGTTGATGCAAAGACATGTTACTCCTTGCCCCTATTGTTAACATGACCAGCCTGTCTACTAGAAGAAAGATATCTGAACCTGCCCTGGTAAAGTGGTTATGGAAGTGGTCTAGAGCAGAGCTGTCCAAGAGATATATAATGAGAGCCCCATATGTGATTTCATATGAGTAAATTTTACATGTGTAAATTTTCTGATAGCCACATTAAAAAGATTAAAAGCAGAGGTGCAATTAATTTGAATAAAATATTTTACTTAACCCAGTAGATCCAGACTATTATGACTTTAACATATAATCAGTATGGAAATTGTTAATGAGATTTTTACAACCTCTCTTTCATACTCAGTCTTCAAAATCCAATGTATATTTTACACTAACAACACATCTCAATTCTGACACTAAGCTAAATTTTCACTGGAAATACCTGTTCTGTATTTAGGTTTCATAAAATTTGCATTTGCTAAAGTAGATTCACATACCCAACTTGTCCCAGACATACCTAAAAGTTTTCTAATAACTGAATCGAGAGTCTCTTTCTAAATTTAAATTAATTAATATTAAATAAAATTCAAAATTCAGTTCCCTCATTTGGACTAGCCACATTTCATGTGCTCAATAGCCATATGTGAATAACACAGTTCTAGAAAGACAAATGTGTCAGAAAATCTCACTGCTTTCTTCGTTCTTGGCACTCAGAGAAGGTAAATTAGATATTTTCCAAAAGCCCCCAAATGATTTTGTGTGTGCGTGTGCATGGGGGGCATGATTGTTGTGTCTTAGGTATATTTGATTTAAATGAGCCAGGAAAGTCACAATTGGAAAATGTGAGATTAAAATGTTAATTCTATTGTGATGACAGAATATAGCCATCATTGAATCAATGTTAGTAACTAGTTCTGATTCCTTGAGGTCTGAAAGAGTGATGATGTGATTTCTGGATGTCGAAAAGAAGTAGTTAGCATCACATTAGCACAATCAGTATTCTGCTGACTTTTAATTGCTAAAATATTTTCAGGAAACGCCTCTGGTCGAACTAGATTTATCTTTTCTGTTGCTTCAGAGCTGCATGAGGAGGGGGTGCAAGCTAATTTTGAGGTGATAGGTCCTCTATGGCTACCTTAACTACTGTGAACGTGAAAACTCATATTCTTCAAAACCTGACTTGGTCAGTACCATTTATAATATGTCATCCCATGAAAAAAGGAATTCAAGGTAGCCTTTGTGGCAAAGAATATAATGATAGTGTTCCTCACCCTGTGTAAAGATTGAAGGTTTTCTCCGGTAAATTGTCTCAGCATTTATTGATCTGGAAATTGAAATTCACTTCAGATTTTCTTACAGGGTCTTTGACAGCATACATTTTAACTCAGAATTTGTTCAATTCTATATTTAAACAGAAAGCCCGTAAAGATGTCCACTTGTACCGAAAACCTTCTCGTTGATTTCTATCCAAGTTCTCTGGAATTGTAATTTTTATTGTATAACAAATTAGTATCAGGTTGTTTTTGACCCCTAGAGCTTAACAGGTTTAAAATGTCACCGAAGTACTTAAAATGGATTTCGCTTTTTGCCATTAGTTGACCACCCACTCGCTGTACTACCTCACTACTTATCTACTCACTCAGTCATCCACTGTCTCGCAGGAAATTGTGTGCCTGATTTATTATGAATATTGGGAGGATACCATGTCTTTTTTTTAAAATTTAAACTCTTTTCCCTTGTGTTTCTTATTTTTGAAAGTCTTATAAAAGGTCCTTGAATGCCTGTTGTTTCCATAACATTTTCCCATGTAATATCTTTCAAGTGACTGAGACAAATCTCCAATGCTGTCATTGTCCCAAAACTTCTATCTTAGCAAATGTAGCAGTTACTGGAAAGGAAAGGTATTATGCAAATACAGGTAATCAGCTAATTTTTATGGTCGTGAGCATTTACTGTATCTTTTGCAAATTGCTGGTTTTATAGGCAAGTGCACAATCAGTAATATTACATGAAGGAAATTTTAAAATGATTCATCCAAATTAAAACGTAGAGATGCCTACCTTCATGGTACAGCAGTTTCTGTGAAAGAGCCTAGCAAACTACACTGTTTTTGCCTTGTATAGGCTGAATATTTGCCTGTGTATTTAGTAATCTGTAACTTCTGACTTTCCTGCTTTGGTAGGACATAAACTAAAATTGGAATGATGCATTGTGACCCCTGCTCAAGGATGACATGCAAGTTTGCGAGGCATGCTGTATTTGCTTACACCTCAAGAGCACTTATATTTAATTACAGTTACTTATTTATGGCTCTCTACCTAGCTATCAGGGAGCTTCTTGAGGGCAGGGAAAATAACTCGCACATCTTTATTATTTAACACAGTGCCTACAATGTAACAGTTGCTCATTTGCTATGGAATGAATTGAGTAGTTTTAATAAAATCTCATTAAAAGACAAAAAGTATGTTTATCAACCTGAGAGCAATTATTGTCCCAAAAGGCTGAATTAAAGTAGTGGTTCTCCACCTGGCTGTATATTAGAATCACCAGGGGAGCTTTTTAAAAAGATCAGTGCCAGGGCCCTGTGTCAGAGCAATGAAACCAGGATCTCTGGGAGTGGGTCCTGGTCATTGGTAGTTTTTAAAGCTCTCCAAGTGATTCGAATATGCAACTATGAGCAAGAATCATTGGTTTAAAACTCAGGTTATGTATGTAATATTTTGGGACTGGCTTCTGAGAGGCTTATAGTTTTTTAAAAGCAGAATAATTGTTTTGGGGGAGATATTGCAGCCAAAAGACCAAGACATGGATTTTATTTTCCCTACACTGTATTTCTGAGCCTTGTTGTATAAGAATTTTGTTTCAGCCTATGTATGGCTTTGAGTTTTTGGGGTCTTTTAAGATTCACATTGATTTATGACACTCATCTAACGCTAACATGCTGATTGCCTGATGTTTGGAACAACATAGAACAAGGATTGCTTCAATAACAGTTGATGATGGCTGTCTACTGTGATGACTTAATTTAATATTGAGAAATCTATCAGTTTAGTATGGATTGTGTTTGCACATACACCTTATGAAAAGAGTATGATTAAGTTGCATATGTTCTTTAAATTTCATACTTGCAATTTCAATAGAGCTGTTTGCCCAAGAATTGAGTTAAATGCAGTCTTTAAGTAAATACTGGAGTAATATGTATAATATATAATTTAGCAGAGAGGAAAATTCAGCTTTACTAATTTGTCCTAATTACTATGGCTTTCACATATATTGATTGGCCCAGTGGTTTGGATTTCTAGTACCACAGTGGGGAACGTTACATCATGTTGAAACATCTTTCCTAGGAATTTTAAGTAGACATTGTAGGTAAACTAGTTTTTAATGTTAGGAAAAAGTCAAATTTGAGCCTGAAGGAACCAAGAATTTTCTAGAAATGAGTAGATGTTCCATGAAAGAAGTGTTGATCAGAGTGACAATCATGTAACAAGGGAAACGAAACACAGTCACCAGCTAAACTGCTGGTGCCTCAGAAAGATCCAAGCCGTGGAGGTTAAACTAACGTTACTGGGTGGAAAAACCTGTTACAGGGTGTGGATTCCTACTCACTGCAGGCCTTGTTGGGAGGAGGTAAGCTGTGTTGATTCCTGAGGATGGAGTTGGACTCTGGGACCTCTTAGGAGGGAAATGAGCTACTGAGTTGCTTTTCTGCACGTGCACAACC